TTCTTGGACATTCAGGCTGGTTAATGTTATTAATACTGTTTATTATAAAGAGAAACAGAGAATTTACTTAAATATTTGTGTCTATAAAAAGAATGTATAAACATATATATATATATATATATATATATATATATATATATATATATATACATACATACACACATACATATACATACATTATATATATATACACACACACATACATACATATATATATATACATACATATATATATATATATATATATACACACATATTATATATATATATATATATATATATATATATATATATATATACATATATATATATATATATATATATATACATAGAATTTATATATATATATATATATATATATATATATATATATATATATAAAATTTGCACTCATATTGTCATGTCTGTGTTTCTGCATGCAAATATAGTATTCAGGAGTAGTTTATATTAGAGAAAAGTTCTCTAAGTGATGCAGACGTCTTTTCCCTTAACGGAAAAGAATGTAAGGAAGGAAAAAGAAAGAAAAATAAATGAAGAATGTGTAAAGTTAAAATAGAAATAGATGAATATAAAGTAAAGAGAAAAATATAAAAAACTAATAAAAGAAAAAATTAAAAAGAGAAAATAAAAATCAAGAAGAGAAAGGAAATGATAAAACTGAAAAAGAATAGAAGAAAATTAGAAAAGCAAAAAAGAAAAAAATGAAGAAAAAGTCTCACAAGCAAAAAAAGGAGACACATTAAAAAATGTTTGTTAAAAAAGCTAGAAGCAGACACACACAGAGATATATATATAAAACTGTGTGTTTTATATCCATCAAGACAAATTTCTATTGTTTTAAAATATATATATATATATATATATATACATATATATATATATATATATATATATATATATATATATATATATATATATATATATATATATATATATATCAGGTGTGTAAATGAATTGATACTACATATAAGGGAATGCTTCCAAAGTTCTGTTAAGCCCTTTCCATGAAACGTCCAACAATGGCAAAGTCAAATCAGCAAAGACAGGAAACAAATGAGAGCATAATTATTTTTTCTCTTTTCATAATTTAATGTTGTCAGATTTAAAATTTGTGGGTGCCAAGCTTCAATTTTTGTATAGTCATCTGATTGAGAAAATAATGAGAGAATAGGAAGAGTGATTTTTTTTGTCCGATTCAAAGTCCAAACAGTGGTGAAGAGGAGAATGGATTCTCTTTGCCTTTGAGTTTCAGGTCAGATTGACCCCAGTCATGAAAATGTTCATTGATGTGCACTGATAAGAGGAATAGATTGAAGAAAACAAAAAGTTTTATCTTCACATAGTGTTTTTAATCAATCAGAAAATTTCTACTCTAAATATATTATATATATATATATATATAGTAGAAATGAGCTGAAAAATCGTCTCTCCCTCTCTCTCTCTCTCTCTCTCTCTCTCTCTATATATATATATATATATATATATATATATATATATATGTATGTATGTTTGCATTAAATATTCATTCAGACATAAACACAGTTATAAATTCATATGCATTAACTTATTAAAATATATGCAAAATAAAATACATGCAATTATAGACAAATGCACACATATGTATCTACACACACATATATATACAGAGATATGCACAGACTTATTTAATAAATACATGTTAACATTCACACATATATTTATACATGTCCACACATATGTATATATCTGAGCAACTCTTCATCCTCTCTCTTTATATATAAGAGAGAAAGACAGATAGAGGAAAAAAGAGAGAAAGCAACAAGCACATATGCAAATATATACACAGTCTCATGGCTTCACTCACTCCAATTCTGTATATGCAGAAACACATGGATTTTGATGAAAGAGATTTTGACACATTTATAAATTTTATCTTTTGCTTTTCAAAACAATTTATGAAGGCTAAGTGAAAAAAAAGAATAAAATACTGACATTACCCCTGACAAAAAAATAAACAAGAGAATTGAGGCAAAACAAATTAATAACATTTTTCAAAATTGATTTTGTGACAGACACAATCCTCACCTCGTACATTTTATTTATTTAAAAAGAAAATGAAAAGATAAGTTGAAACTCATTAAAGCAAAAATTAATCTAATTAACCAAACTAATTACAAAGAGGAAACTCATTTCCTCATTGTTCAAACTCAAACACACCCCTTTAAAGAAAATTGAAATGTGCTATTTTACTCTTTTCTCCGATTGGTTATCTTTCTGACATTTCAGATAAAATTCCTTTTTCAAAATGGAGTTTTTATTTTAATGAACCTCCCCAACCTGGTCAAGGACTTCACATATATAAACATTTCCTCAAATGGTTATGCAAAATTATTTCATCCTTTTTTTTTTTCTCCTCTATTAGAAAACTTTTTTTCTAATAACTCAGAGGAAGAGATGGACTTTGCCTGAAACATGAACAATAAATATTGAATGTCAAAGTTTATCATAATTTGATACCTTGAGAACTTCAATCCAATATTCTAACATTTTTCACTGTGTGTATCTATTTCACTGAAAAATATGTTAATGAACAAAAGAAATTTACATAAAGGCTGAGCTGAACATTTAGAAAAAAATAAGACGTGTTCATTTAAAATTTTTAAGGTTAGTAAGATTCACATGGCATGAACTAAAATCCTTGAAAAAATTCTCTAAACCTCAATTTTTTAAAGATTTTTTAGAAACATTTGTTGTGTTTACATAAATGCAGAATTTTGGAAGAATTTTTTATAGCACCGTCAACTGTGCAATGTCAAAAAATATTTACAATGTTTTTGAACTTGTTTGGTAAAAAGTTGAATCTTTTTAGAAATTTTGATAAATTCCTGCACAAATGATACATGGCAAATATTAACTTTTTATCATTTCAATTATACTTTACCTTTATTAAAATTTAATTTTATATTTGTTGTTAGAAAAATATTTGTTTGTATCCAAAGTGATAGAATGCTTCTTTTATACAGTAGATTAGATTGCCATCATTTGAAATCTAACACATTCTGTGACTCTAGCAGGGGACTTTGTAAAAGTTGCCCCCACCACTACCACCATGAATTTCTGCCTCTACAGTTCCAGCTAACTCTAACCATCAAATTTCTTACTGCAGTGCCTTCTAAGCAATGACCAAGTCATCTGATGGCCTGGGGAGAAGAAACCTGATTCTCATTAAACTCAGGTGTCAGCTGCTGTGATTACTCATAAAGTGTTGCCTTGTTCTGTGCCTGGTTTCCCTTGGGCAAGTGGGGATGCACTTGCAAGACTCTTCTTAACATGCCAGCAAGATTGCAACCACAAAAACTTTTTATGTGCAAATTTGTGAATCCAAAGCAAACACACACACACACACACACACACACACACATATATATATATATATATATAGTGAGATGAAAAAATCCCAAAAAGAAAGACTAGTAATATTATTATAATTTATTATATTTTATAAGCACAATTGTTTTTCATTGAGAAAAGACACAGGCATGTTTGAAAATACAAATTTTTAACATTGTTCTTATTGCATTTTTATTCTGTCTGCTTTCCTAATAATGTATAATAAATGATAATATTCTTCTTTCTTTATTATTGTCCTACTATATTTACGTTCTGTAATAAGCATGTGTCCTCCAGCTGTAGGTTTAATAGTAAGGTATACTAGGCTCTTTAGCTTTGATTGACAACCAATTGAAGAGAAAGAAAAGTTTGAATTCCCAAATCTTAGTAGTCATTAGTGTAGGAACATGTGGTTGCTTAAGGGAAGGAAAAACCTGAAAGGAAACTAACCCTTCCTCAGGGTAAAGAGGTAGGGAGTGGAGCCAATATATATTGAGAGAGAAAGAGATTTATCATTTGATTGATTTGTTTTTTATAGCTTATCAACCATTTATGGGTTATTTAAAACCTAAGCATATTTTGGATTTTAAGCATAATTCTTTTTTTTGGTGGGTGTGAGAGAATATGGCATTAATAATTTTTTTGAGAATAACAATGATTTTTTTCTGATATAAATTATATTATTTAACCTGTAGCTGGAGGGAGGAGGTGGATTAATACCTTTCCTAAGGACATTTGTGCATGTGAATATAATGAACCTGACTGAAATTTGAACTTGTCTTTCCGATTTCACATTCCAAGCTGCTATCCATTATGCCATCCACACCTATATGAGAAAAGTAACATACAAATAGACATGCACTAATAATTAGAAACAACATTATATAATGGTTTATGCATGATAAAACAAAATTGATAATCCATGGTGATGAAATTACTGTTTGAGAGAAACTCTTGCAAAATCTCTTGGCATCAGGTGATAATTATCCATGATTCAATATGTGATAAAAACACTTTCTTAATTCACTCAACCCAATGTCCTTCAGTTGAAGGTCATTTGGGAAAGTAAAACCAGTTTCCATTTGTTTCTTTTCTCCTCTATTATTGCTTAATATGTTTCAGTTTCAAAACTAATTTTGTTTCCAGGAGTAGTCAGTGATCTCACATAAATCCCTCCCTTCATTTAAGAGTCTCCAGCCATGGTTACTATTTGCTTCTATAGTTTTTACATGTGAGCCAATGATTGATTGTGTCTGTCCAGCCTGTACACTCGATTAGGGACAGGATATCTTGTAGCCTGGCTTTAGCAACTGGTAATCAATGAAAATGATTTTATGATTTGGATTTTAAATACACATTCCTAAGAAAATCTCCATTTCTGCTGTTGGGACACAGGAAACTAAATCTGAAATTTGTTTTTTGTTGATGGTAAGAAATTTGTTTCTAGTTTGTAAAGGGATATAAGAAATAATTAAGATCCCCAAAATATACAAAGTATTGATGTGAAGAAACTGGGAAAAACAAAAGATTCAGAATGAAAGTGGAGAGAGAAATGTTTCAAAATGAGCAAGAAAGTCTTCAGAAAGACAGAGAAGAAATTTTGAATAAAAATGGAATGAGAGAGAATGACTTCAAGAAGGAAAAGAAGAGAAAGAGAAAAGGATAAGAAGGGAGAGATAGACACAAAAGGAAAAAGAAATCTTCAAGATGAAAGAGAAGAGAAAGAGACAGGAAGAAGAACTACAGAATGTATAGAGAAGAGGATGAGAGGAAAATGAGAAGAACTTTAGAAAGATAAAAAAAGACAGAAAGACATTGAATTCAGGATGAAAGAAAGAGAGAGAGCCTTTATGATGGGAGGGAAAGAAGGGCTTCATGATGAAAGAGATAAAAGATAAAAGCTTCATAATCAAAGGGAAGAGTGAGAGTATTGTTTTAGGATGGGATGAGAGTTGATTAAAACAAGCAGAAAGAGAGAGAGAGAGAGAGAGAGAGAGAGATATTGAATAAAGAAGAAGCAAAATATATGAGCTGCTGCCAAAAAGAGTTATATTCAGTTGAATTTGCCAATCAACAATTGAAAGAATCTCTGATTTAATTAAAATCTCTTTTTTGATTTTCCTTTACACTGAAGACATTGCTCAATGTTTGTAACCTCAAAAAATAAAGAGTAAGTCTAACAACTTTGTCTGTTAGATTTAATTAAACAGGAGTTTGGAATTTTCTGTTACAGATTTGGTAACCAATTTTAATTGATGCATAAAAAATATTGAACAAAAATCAGTTCTAAATTATATTCCTTTAGATTTATATTCTTTATAGTTTAGGGTTAGAGGTTTTGGTTATGAGTATGTAATTAACTACAGTTTGTTAAATTTGTAGAAATTTAATAATTTCCATTTAATCTATATCATGTGCATTGTTAGTTGATTAAATATCAGGCTGAAAAGTACAAGTATGAGAGTTCAATCACTGTCATATGCTAACTAAGTTTTATTAACCTAAAATTATTGAATCAATAATCAGCCACATCTGTTAAATTTCAAAATGTTGCATAAACAAGAGCAAAATTTAAAGAGGGTAAAGAAAATCATGGAATAGGAATTGTAAAGATGCTGTGAAAAAAATTTCTTTTACAATTTATAGAAATCTGGGGAAATAAGGAGATTATTCTTTAAAGTTTTTAAGCATCAACCTCAATAGATTTTTTTTTCAGATGAAAAAAAAAGACATATTTTAATTACAAGCTGAGTATTAGACTTGACAGTATCTGAGCCAATATACAAATCACTGAAGCATTAGCTTGGTAAAGATTTTAAAAATCATCAAAATTGTAATAGAACCTGTCCTACCAAAAGTTTTTAATATAATTTTGTTAGGTTCCTGAAAGTTTTATAAGCAAATTCAAAATAAGCATTGATGGTTTGTGGTTTGCATTTGGCAGTGATGAGAAGATTTACTCTCAGAATTACAGTAGACTTTTGAGATCAGTCTTGTACTATTGTAAAGTGTGGAGAGAGAGAGAGAGAGAGAGAGAGAGAGAGAGAGAGAGAGAGAGAGAGCTCAAAAGAAAGACATTAAGAGAGTTAAGAGAGATAAATAAAATAGGGAGGAAAGAAGAAAGAGGAAGAACAGAAATACAGAAAAAAGTAAAGAGGAAATAAGAAGAGAGAATGGGGTGAGAAAGGAATAGGTTAATTGATACTTTCTGTATTTCTTTTTAACTTCTTTATTTTTGAAATTTTTTTTTTACCTAATTTGGAGGATGATAATTCTTCAAAAAAAAGAAGAAACTGAAAAAAAAAGATGGAGTTAATAAGAGTAACAGCTACAAATGACACACCCCTCACCTACCAAAAAGTTAAGTGAAAAATAACATTGAACAACTCTCCAAGTTACAAAGGAACTTTCTCAAACTACCTCATTCTGATCAGCCACAATTTAAATTTATATATGGAAGAAAAGAAGCATTGTAATTACTATTTATACTTATTACCAGTTTGGAATAAGGAAAATACAACTAAATTTTTGTCCTCAAATGTATTAAGTACACATCATGCTAGACAAAGATATGAAATATCTTGTACTTTCAAAATTCTCTAAGGAGTACACTGAAAAATACTTTGTAGTCATTGTTTGTTTATTGATTATTTTAACTGCAAAAAATACTCTTTACAAAAAGTATCATTTTTATAAAAATAAAATCTGATCTGGGTATTCAGTGCATTCATAAAAATCCATTTAAATGTTAAGTAAATTCCTCATCCCAAAGTATGCATTTGTTGCAGTATATTTGCTGTTTTAAAGATGCAATATTTTGATTTATATGGTGCAATTTTGCTTCTGAACTTAGGAACTGAAGTCTATTTCATCGTTTTCCATGATGGAAAAAATTTAAATATGTTCTCTTTAATCTTTTATTGTATTGGTGTCCTTTATGGAATCAAATTTCTTGGCAATGCTCTTTTCAAAAAAAAAAAAAAATTTAATTAGTTATATAAAGAAGCCTCATGGGCTGCAAGAATCTTTGTGATCATTACATTGGCCAGGGTGGCCTTTATGGCCAGAGAAGATGAATTAAAGAGTTCAGTGAAAAAGTATAAAAGGGGTAGAAAACCCCAGGGGTAGTTCTTTTGCAGAGAATAAAATGAATTATCATAAAAAGGCATTTACATCTAATCAACATCTGCAGTGAAGAGAATGGTTAATATCCATGAAAGCATGTGAGATCAGAATGATTTTTGGAGCCAATGAAAATTCTTGGAAAGAATTGTGTAAAAAAATTGAAGATAAAGAATTAAAACATTATTAATTTTTCTTCTTTTGCTAATGTTTAATTCAGTTTTTAAGTTTGGTACATGGTTAGAATTTTGGAGCACCTAATGAAAAACATTAAATTAGAGCATGTGTCTTTGGAGTGATTATTATGCTCAAATACCTATGTGATGCATAAATGTATGAATAATAAATATCCTTACAAATAAACAGTTACATATGTAATCACTACATGACTATTCAGAAATTATATTTAAAGAGTGCTACTATATTTATATGAAAACTGTTATTTCATTTATGTTTTTGATATTTCAACACACAGCACCAAAATTTGATTAAAATTATATTTTCGATGTTTTGAAATATCAAAATTATGTAAAAGTTATTACTTTTATTGTTTTTAAAATATCACAGTTAAATTTTATATTTTTTAGAAGAAAATATTGAGAAAACAAAAACAAACTAAATAAAACAAAACAAAAGGAAAACAAAAACACAAAGAGATGATGTTTTCAGAAATATTTTTGTTAGGAAACTAGAATAAAGTATTTGCTTTGAAATTGGAACAAACACTCATTCAATACTGAAATTGTTGATTAAAGTAAAATTTTAGTTAAATTTTATAATTTTTCTACTGTTGTTTTTGATAACTCAATTACAGCAGATATGTATGCATAAAACTACATGTCTGTTACTGTTATTGAAATTAAATAAACAATTTTTCTTTTTTATGTGTATACACATAGAGAGAGAGAGAGAAAGAGAAAGAGAGTTGCTTGTGTATGTGTATACACACAGAAAAGAAAAATTGTTTATTTATATATATATATATATATATATATATATATATATACAAACTTCTATGTCCAATGTTTAATAAATAGGTATAATTTTTTGTATATATATATATATATATATATATATATATATATATATATATATATATATATATATAGCCTCAAAAGGTGAAATGCTTTCCATTTGTCAAATATCTTCAAAAATTTGTTGGGATTCTATATCCTATTTTATACACACATGTATATATATATATATATATATATATATATATAGGAATATAAAATATTGCACACTGAGTGCTGGTACTAATAAAGTAGTGTTTGATGTATAATAATGATGATTACATTATATATATATGTGTGTGTGTGTGTATGTGTGTGCATGTTTTGTGTAAAAGAAATACAGTTATTAAATAAAAAATCAAAAGTCAATCCAGTGTGTTTTTTATCAAAGAAGAGAAAAAACATCAAATCTATTATTGACTAATGGTGTGGAAGTAGGAAATATTGAAGTCATTGTCATATTAATTCCAAATGGTACAAAGGGAAAAGATTCCCTGTTTAAGTATGTCCAATGGAGGACAATGCTTGACTGATTCTGCCATAGAGAAGTTAAAAATCTTTCAGGATATTTGTGTTTGACGGAAAGTGTTGTCAAATACAAGTCAGATTGAAAATTTCTTTGGTTTACAGATCTGTAGTATTCTCAAAGAAATGGTATCCACTTAGACTGAAATCAAGAAATTTTCGAAATAGTCATTTGAACTAAGAGAAGAAATATAAATTTTTGTGATTAGATAATGATGGTTGAAGTGTGGACAATAGACAGTTAATAGGTCATTTTGGGGTTAAATAAAAAGTAAAAATGACAAAGAATGGATTTTTGTTCTTTCAACAAAATTTCTCTTCATTTATCTCCATTGTTACTTTGCATTAACATCTTATAAAACACTATCATGCACTATTTTATATATATATATGTATGTTTCATATATATATATGTATGTTTCATTAAAATAACAGAAAAGGTACTATGGTTAAGCTTTTTTTTTTATTTTTCTTGTGTTCAAACAAAACTTTCAAATGTTTTCTGGACTGAGTGTTTGCAAAAACTGTCCAAATGTTTTATAGTTCTGAGTGCATTTTTGGCTATACCTTTAGCCATTATCAAGGATTTTCAATTGTTCAGTTTAATTGAGTTGTTTTTGCATTATGTCCATTATGTTTTAGTGTGTTGTGGAGATGTTTTTAATTTCCGTTTTTTACAGTTATGGAATTGTGGCCTTGTTTAAGTGGGTTAATATTGTTATGAGTTGTTTTTCTTTAAACACATTACAAACTTCCATTATTTTTAGTCTTTTTTTAGAAAGTGGATATAATAATTATCCACTTGTGTTCTTTTTCAAAAAAGAAAAGCTTGTAATGTATTAACTATGAACATGGAATCTGCTAACCGTATTCAGAAATTAAAAACATTTACAAAAACACTAAAAACATACATAATGTGTCAATTAATTAAGCTGAAAAATTGAATTATCCTTGATAATGGCTAAAGGTATAGCTGAAAGGAACTATAAAAACATTTGGACAGTTTTTGCAACAATTTTGTCCAGAAAAGAAAGTTTTGTTCAAACAGAAGAAAAAATTAAATAAAAAACTAAACAATAGTACTTTTGTCTGTCGTTTTAATAAAACATGAATAAACGAAGGATTGCTGCCTAAATATACAACTATATATATATATATATATATATATATATATATATATGTGTGTGTGTGTGAGTGTTTATGTCTGTGTGTATATTTACATCTCTCTGTCTCACTATATATCTATATATCTATATATATATTCTGTCTGTCTGTTTGTCTCTCTCTCTCTATATATATACTTACATATATATCTATATTTATCTATCTATATCTACATATTTATATATATATATATATATATATATATGTATAAATATATATATACACTCACACTGATGGTGTGATGGGTAAATTGTTGCCATTTCTTTGTTTGTTTTTGATTTTATCAACTGCACTGTATAATAGGGTCAGTTGGCCAGCATCTGTGAGAAAAAAAGCACCCATGACACAAGCAACTCGACCAGAAATTCTGAAAACAGTATGCTGAGAATTTGGAAAGAGTTGGTCTAATGGTGATTACAACAGTATGGCACCTTGGAAAAGTCAGTTTGATCATTTTTGATAAGAAAAGAACTCCCAAATTTGTTGGTGAGAGCCTCAGTCTCAACATGGAGGCTTACATCAAGTGCCTTGAGGAGGTGCCTTGGGTAAAGAGGGTGAATTCTGAAAGGCCCTATATCTGGCAACAGGACTCTGGACCATGCCAGACAAGCAGGAGAACCTAGTTATGGCTCTCAGACAATTTCTGTGACCACATCATCCCTTACATTTGGCCACCTAATTCCCCAGACTGTAACCCCGCTTTGATTATTATGTGTGGGTTGAGCAAGAGACCAATAAAACTCCTTGTAACCCCAAAAATGAAATCATCTGAAGGCCATGGTTGAAGTCAATGGTGAGTTTATTGAATAAATTTCAAGATATTTTATGTAATTTTGGTAAATATATCTGTTAAAATGAATTTAGATGAAAATTTATCCATCACACACACACACACACACATATATATATATATATATATATATATATATATATATATATACGATTTGATAAAGCCCCTCAGAGGACAAAATGTGTTGGCTAAGATAAGTTTTCCTTTTGTTTTTATTCAATTGCTTTTATGTATAAATATATCATGGGTGTAATTTAATAATAATTTAATAAATTATCCTAATTAAAATTTAAAAAATGAAAACAACTCTTGTAAAAATTCATTATTCATCAAAAGGATTATTTTTCAGAAAATAGGTCTTAAAATTTTTTTTGATGAATAATGAATTTTTACAAGAATTGTTTTCATCTCTTAAAAATTTTGATTAGAGTAATTTATAAACTTTTAA